GGTAAAAAGACTAAAAATAAGGTAAAAATACTGAAAGCTGAAAAACCGCAACGTGTTTTTCGAAAAGCGAGCCTAGTGTCGGCGTCTCGAGTAACGGGGTTAAGTCAGGTCGTGAGAGCGCGTCGGCCTCGCGATCGGCAGGCTTTTTTTTTCGTTCCCACCGGGGACGAGATTCCCCTCTCTCCTTCCCGGAGCCGGGAACCGGTCAGGGCCGCGCCTGAGGGGCCCTCTGGGCCCGAGTCAGGGCCGCAGAGACGTTAGCCACCCTGTTACTAAAAGATGGAATAAGGATGAAATCACAGTGCCTTGAGAATTAGTTCATTATTAGGAGGACTCATGGACTGGAAGGACATAAGTATGAAATACTGCTAATACAGATTTTTTAAAAAATATTGTAATCTTGTATAATGCTTGCTTGTAAAACACCGTTTGTTGAATTCTGAGTGGAATCAGATGTGACCCAGCAAATTTACCATGATTCTTCTCTTGGTGGGTTTGCATAAGGTAGGAACCATTTGATGGTCAAGGACAAGAAGTCTTGAAGTATGGAAAGACCCCTTTGGGCATTAGCATGGCATGACCAGAGTAACCTGACAGTTCCCCTGCCCTCCACATGAATAGTTTGTTACAGCTGTTCATTTTATTTGTGACAGCAGGGTGGTTAGCGTATCGCATAAGATAATATGACGCAAGGGAATGTCATACTCGGCACAGAAAATCCAGAAATCTGCTGGTGTAATCTGCTTTCCTGTCTGCTGCAAACTTCGTGTGTGTCTTTGGGACCTCGTCAAGGACAATCTTGAAGAGGGGAAAAAACGGCATAGGCCTGGTACGACCTCAACAGAATTTAGATGCCAGACATTGTTTATGTATTTTACATAGCACAACCATCAGTTAAAATACACAAGCAGTCTTTGGAGCTGTGGTGGGACCTCTGCTGTCTTTGCCTGTATTTACCTTACCAAATAATTTAGCATGTGAGGAACAGTAGATGAAACTTTTACAGACTGAAATGCACAGTGCTAGGGATCCAGTACCCACACAACACTTTCTTAGGGCTTTTCCTTTGAACTAGTGCTCACCTCTTACACAGCCTCCCGATATCTGCGCTCTGTGCTTTCTGCACCACAGCATCAGCCATCGAGCTGGAGAGTCACGCTCGCTCCTGCTGCTGCTCTGACCCAGTCACTCTGGAGCATTTTGCTCCCGAGTGGAAAACTTCAGATGGAGAAGAACCCCTCGCGCAGAACCCCTCCCAGTTCGGGAGCTCGGACGCTCCATAGGGCAGCAGGGTCGTACCTGCTGGGGCTGAGGAGGGAACCGGGCATGGACCTCCTGTGTCCTGGGCAATTTCTCTTACTACAGCATCATAGATGAAAAGGAAGGTGCTAGCATGGCTGTAAGTCTCTGCCTTCAGCAAAAAGACTCTGTTTAAGCAAAAGGTTCACAGGATCTTTCTGACAGGTAGATCTTAAGTGAGTAGCTCACTGCAGGCATCTCCTTGATAATTGAACCTGTTGGTTTGCATCCTCCGGAGGCACTTTTCTCTCCTATCCACCCTGCAGGGGAGCTGGACTACAGACAGATTCCACTGGCTCTTTCCTGTCTGAGCATTTGATGTCGGTGTTGTGGTACCTAAATACAATTTTGGGTCATCCATCAGCCTCAGATTACAGAAGCGTTGCCAAAAGTAGAGGGAGAACATACTGCAGAGGCATTTTAAGTACTGATTAGTGCTTTAAAAGGTGCGATACTGATTTGAAAGGAATTGCAGGTAAACAAAGTTTTTACCATCATAATTTCTGGCATATAACACTATTAAGCTCTAGTCAGAAAGTTAAAAGATGGTAAATTCCCTAAAAATGGAGAACTCAGGGCAAAGACAACAAACATCTTAAGTGGAAGCTCAGATAAGAGTGATAGGATATTGATCTATAGGATGTTATTTACTGGATGGTGTTTGAAAGCCTGGATTGACTTGATAGCTTTGTTAAAGGACCTGACATTGCAGTTTTGTTATGTAGTTTAGTGCAACTTTCTAAAAACTACCGTCTTAAAGATTTCTCATCGCCTGCATCCTCAGTAGTCACCAAGACAGTGGTTTTCATGAAAACAGTTTGTCATTTTGGCGCTTTTGATTATGAGGTAATGTAAAGAAGTCAAGGTATAAATACTAACTATTGGATTCTGTGGTTAAATCAGCATTCGAGCAGTTTGAAAATTAGCGTGCAGCCTCATATTCGACTCCCAGCGTCGGAAATGTCACGCTTTAGAATAATGACTGTTGCCCGCAGGCAGCTCAGCAATACGATTTTGACTACAAAATATGACACTAATACAATTTAAACGCGGTGCAAAATGCTGCAGGGTGAGAAAGCTGATTTATGTGTGCTATCAAAACCAAATTTTAGTATTTGGTCAGGACAATATATTTCATTGTTTGGGAAAGTTATAATTGTTGGGTTTATTTTATAAGACCTTTTGAACAAAGGTATTAATTTTTCTCCCACGTTTAAGCTGCTACAATTCATTGCCTGTTGATGCTACAACTGTCCTTCCAGATGCCAGCACAGAATCATAGAATCGTTATGGATGAAAGATACCTCGAAGATCATCAAGTCCAACCGTAGACTGACATGACTACATGTCTGCTTGGAGTCAGGGATGAGGCTGGGGAGAGCAGATACCTCCCATTTCCTCAGGCCAGTGGCCCCAGTAGCCGCCCATAGACCTACTGGAGTCAGCAGAACCTTGCCTGGGCAGAGCTGTCCTACCACGTGGGGCGGTTTCTGCCAAGCCCGAAGCCTGTAGTGCTTTTCTTCAAATTCTCTAAGTGGAGATTGAGATTTTAAGGTGACACTCAAGTCTTAGTTATCAATTATTTGAAAGTATATTTTTGCAGTTTTAGAAACAAGGCAGAGCGAGGAGCACCGTTATGTGTACTTGTAGCTAAAAGAACTGCGGGTTAGTTGTACAGTGCAATGTATGTTGGGGCAACTTGCTGGAGAGGCCAGATTTTCAAAATGGAAGCACTGTGGTGAGGTACCAAAGAGCTAAACATTTCAGAAAATTCAGCCATCTTATTGTCTACAAGGAAGTATGGTTTGGTAGCTACAGCATGAAGAAGGGTATCCACCTGGGCCGTAGACTTGGGAGTGGTTTTGTTAGAACTACATTCAATAAGACAATTTTTTTTTCAGTGGAGAGGTCCTTAGCTGCTTTCTTATTGCCATGCTTTCTAAGCAAATACCCCTGCTGCCCCTTTCACTGTCTTCGCCCCGCAGATTGTGCTGACCTGGGCCTTGGAGGTGCTTGTTGGTTTGGGTTTTTTGGTTTTGTTTTTAACCTGTATCTGGTTTAGAATGTAACACCAACAACAGTTACATCAGCAGAAAGGAGGGGATGATAAAGATGGAGCATAAGGAAGGATGTCTATCTTGAGTGCCTGTGTTGACAAGAGAAATGCTAACATCAGACCACACCTCTAGTCTCTCAGTTGTCTGTTTCGTGAAGTCGGGATAGTACCTGCCTAATTTATTATGAACACAGAATAAACTAAGCCTGTGTGAGAACTGCACAGTTTGTTGTGGAGATGATGAGAGCGCAGGGGTCTGACTGATTGCCCAATGGTCTCACCACTGTATTGCATTGTTTCCCTCCTAGAATGTTAAAATAGACACACATGTTGAACCCAAAGAATTAGTGTAAACCCTTCTTGGGAAACAGTGGTGTCTTCAAAGCAATGCACGCTCATCACTTCATTATTGCTAATGTGCTAGAATGGTAAATAAGCAGTCCAAACATCCCTTTGTCATGGCTCTTAAAGCTGTGTAATGACAGTTTGTTTTCTAAGCCTTCATAAAGTGTGAAATTGGTGTTTTTGCAGTACACCACGATTCGCTCACCTAAAGAATGCTTTTTGACTGATCGAAGTAGTGAGCGAGCATGAGAAGAGAGAGAAGTGAAAGAGAAAATGAGCTGAATATTGTCCTTATTAAATAGACAAGGCAAACCAAAACCAGAGGCCGATCACAAGCAAAGCTAAAAAAACCAAAACTGCTGTGTTTTGTAAGGCAAAACACTTCAAAGATAGTTAAGCACAAAGTTTAAGATGGCAAAGTCCTTTCTGGATGACAAGATTCTTCACGGTTCATCACATGACTCTTCCTAAGGGACTGGCCCCTTATTATATCTTTGAAAAGAAACTTTCAGAAAAAAGAAATTAATGGAGATGAAGCACAGTTAACATCAGAAGTCCAAAATCCCGTTTTAGTGCTGGATGTGTCACATGTATCCGTGTATTTACATACGTAGTTTTGTGTGTGTTCATTACATACCTATTTTTTCCCCCCCACAGACAGTGAAAAATGCCTAAAAAGAAGACTGGTGCTCGTAAGAAAGCTGAGAACCGTCGTGAACGTGAAAAGCAGATAAGGGCTTCAAGAGGCAACATAGATTTAGCCAAACATCCTTGTAATGCTTCGATGGTAAAATAACCTATTTTATATTACAAAACTTGATTTTAAACTATGTAAAACCAGTGATAATACATTGACTGTATTTAATGCCACTAGAATGAGATTCTTCCTACCATCCTTCCTTTATATTTAAGGTTGCATTTGTTCAGAGGTACAATACTTCAATAAAAAGTTTGATTCCTAATCAGAACATAATTCAGAGTCCCTTTGGAGTTTGTAAATTTTATATATTTTACCTAGAATAAAAATAATTACCAGTATTTTATTTCTTTTCTTTAGGAATGTGATAAGTGCCAAAGGTAAGTCTTTTTCCCCTTCTAAAACCAGTAATTTAACATTAATTGGTTTCAGACATTTTACAGGTCTTTTTTTAATACTTGCTTTCTTTTTTTTTGCCACCCCCCCACCATGTGCCTAGACGACAGAAGAATAGAGCTTTTTGCTACTTCTGTAACTCTGTTCAAAAATTACCGATTTGTGCACAATGTGGTAAGTAGAAATAATGAACGAAAACATGCTATCCTCGGTCCCATTTGTGGTGTGAAACTCTCAGCAGTTAGAGTACCTTTGTCTTAAAGCACCTTTGTGATTTGTGGAGCAGGTTCTCTTAAACCCACTGTGAATATCCTCCTTGAGAAGAGATCTTGCTTGATCAGGCACTAGTGCATATGCCTCTGAGCCCCAGAGTCTGCAAGCCTGGGTCACGAGCTTGTCTTCAGTATTTGATCTTCGGAAGAATTTGTCTCACTGCCTGTTAGGGTTGAGAACATCTGACTGTTTCATTGAACATGTGGAGTATTGTTTCATAACAACAGCAAAGTTAAAAATGCTTTGACTGCCAGCAAGGTACCAATAAATACTACTTTTTAGGGATGATATAATTTCTGATCAGTTTTATCTTAATTAAAGCAACAGTACATTATTAACCTTGCGTGGTTTTGTAATGTAATATGCTGCTTGTGTTATTTATATGTGCTAGAGGGGTGAAGCTTTGACATCAGAAGAGAAGGACTCCTAGTGACAGAACTCAGCTCTGAATCAGACTAAAATGCCCTTTTTTTTTCTAAATAGCTGCTTGCTTGCAGAGGATATTGCTAATCATTTCATACTTTGAGGTGAACTTTGGTGTTTTACTGTTTCAACACATCCTTGCAGATTTTCAGGTTTTTTGTAGTTTGACTCTCAGAACCGCCGACATCTGCAGCTCCCAGTGCCTTTGTTGGGACCTGCAGATACCGAGCATTTCTGGAAGCCAGACTGTCAGCACGCAACGGCAGTATGTCATCCTTCATAAGACTTCCTTCTGTCATCATGCAGTGAAATACTAAAAACATGCTGTCTGTCTTACAGTATATTATACATCTGAAATTTACTCCTCTGTGTTGCATTTACCTTAATCTGCAGTATGTTCCTGGAGGAAAAGCATTCCCCAATAACAATGACAAAATTATATTGAGTCCCAGGGTTTTCCAAGACAAAGACCATTGGAGCTGTTTGGTCCTTAAGCACTGGGGACAGCCCCTGTAAACCAACATCATCTTAGAGAAGTCCTTGAGGGATGGGAGCGAGGCAGCTGTATTGCAGTGCTCCAGAATCAGTAATACCCCATCACCTCTCATTGCCCAGCTCAGCCCACCACTGGTCCTTCCTCACCCTCCAAGTGCCATTTGGTATCTGAAGTGTGATTTAATACAAAACTCTGCTGATGCTGCATACTGGGGTTTAATTACATTTTCAGAGTAGAATTTGGTTTTGTCAGCTCTTGAATGGGTTTGCACCCGTTTGTTGATTTCTCTAAGCAGGCAGTAACTGAGACACCAAAGGGGTCTGGGGCAGGGCAGCTTAAATCAGTGATGAAAGTCGATTGCAGTAGCCTGGGCTAACTACAAGAGTTTTTTGCCTGTAGAGCTGCATACGGAGCAGAGATCTTTCTGATAGAGCTATTTGTATCAGAGGCAAGGAGTAGGGGAAAGTCGCCACCCTAACTGCTTGCTTGTGTCAGAATGACTTTGAAGTGCAGACTGTGGCTTTTTCTCCCACCCATCCCCTGCATTTAAAGGGAATTATTTTGTCTAGGAAGTAATCTCTTACATGTTTAAAGAAAAAAACCAACAATAACCACCAAAAACCCCAAGTATCCAAGTGCCTGTAAGTAATTAAATCAGGTGAAAGTGGGTTTGTTTCCCCCCACCCCCCCAGAGGGCCTCAGCGTTGCACATGGCATACGCTGCTTTTATGGTGGGATAGAACTAGCAGTGATTTTAAATGCAGTTTTTTAAGATGTCACTGCTTGACTCTAACCTTAATTTTGTTCTTTCATTTGTTTTGACATTTGAAATTCTTGCCAATGCCTCAAAACATAGAGCAAGACAACACATTACCTTATTATCTCAGTACTGGGACAAGAGATTTTGGCTGAAAACAGACAATAATTAATTTAATCTAAGGGAGATGTGAGAGTGGGTTGCAGGTTGCAGATATTTGTTTGCATTATTTTTACCTAGATTTACAATTAAGCATAGATATTTGGTTGAAGTACTGCTCTTACGTGAACATTCATTCCAATTTTTTTTTTTTTTCTTCTGGTTGCTTGCCTTTTTTTTAAACAGGAAAAACCAAATGCATGATGAAGTCTTCAGACTGTGTTATAAAACATGCTGGTGTGTACAGTACTGGACTAGCAATGGTGGTATGTATAAAAAATTACAGCCTTTTGTGCACCACGAGCTTATCCTGTGCAAGTCTTTTTGAAAAAAGATAAAATAGATGTATGGAATGGTAGCATGTACCATGCCAGGTGTGTTGTTTTTTCCTCATCTTACCATCACAAACTGATTTTTCCTGTATACTGGTAACTCACATTACAAATTTTTAGATTCAACTTCTGCAAACTCTGACACGTCCTGGATGCAAACAGATCGGTGTTGGTGGCAGGCCCTAAGCACATGCATCGACAGCACTGGAGTTTACATGCCCCATAGCCAATTCCCAGTCCTTATTAAAATCTAGGATCGTTCTGTAGAAACCAGTGGACTTTTGTTGCTGTCTTCTCAGTATTGCAGACACCATCAGTATCAGAGAGAGAAATCTGTTCCATAGCATTAGGGGGGAATTTAATTTTTTAAAAAAAGAAATCATTTTGGCTTTTAGCAGAGATAGTCATAGCTTCTGCCCTTTGAATTTTTGTTCTTAGAAGGACATGTTAGTCACTCCATTCTGGAAGACTCTGCATGAAGTGCTGTATGGACTAAACTTCTGTGCTGTTTCTGCCTCCAGTTGGCAGTCAGCTTTTCTCAGTAACACAGCTGGCCTTTCCAGCCTGAAGTTCCTAAACTCATTCCATGTGTTCACTGATGCAGTATTTTCATCAACAATTAATGTGGATTCACCATTTTTTTTTCCATAGTTTTGTGTGCATGTAGTGCACACGGTGGTTTGTTATATATGGGCTGAGGAGGCTTCTTAAATGCTACAATTAAGGGATAGTTGATGTGTAGATCTTGTAGTTCAAGCATAATGGAAGTTAAAGAGTCTAACTTTGATCTTTGCTCTCTGCGGAGCTTGTGTTCTAACATAGCAAGGAATCTAGTGGCATTTTTGAGGTCTTTTTTGAAATTGCATTTTTGCCAGTTATCATTTATGGATCTCAGGTTTCAGCTGGAGGACACAATTTTCATGCATAAGATTTAAGATAGGAGATAAAAAAACAAAAGGAAAAAACAAGTTATTTGCATTACATTTAATGCTGCAGAAATGAATATCAAACAAACAAGATGAACTGTGGAGCAGCTTGATAGGAATACAGATGCGGTTCATACTGTGTCACTCAACTGGAATGAACCCACTGAGAGAACAGATACTTGGATACATTCAGGGTTATGGAATAAGAGTCTCTTTCTCAGTATTGCAGAAATCTCAAGACTGTATCTTTCTGTAATTGCAGGGTGCAATCTGTGATTTCTGTGAAGCTTGGGTGTGTCACGGGAGGAAGTGTCTCAGCACACATGCATGTATCTGTCCTCTCACAGATGCAGAATGTATAGAGTGTGAAAGAAGTGTCTGGGACCATGGTAGGTTGCTCACGCTTAAAAATAAGAAAGCCTAAATGATACTTATCTCCTCACAGTGCTCAAGTTATTGTACCTGTATTCTTAACATAGCAGTTTTAATCTTCACTGATTAGTCTGTATGTTTGTTCAAAGCAAGGCATTCTCCCCATTTTGAAAACAGACCTTATGCAGTGGGGAATGTAAACACCCTGCTCACCTGCTCAAGAACATGCAGTGCTCAGCTCGGGGATAGGTTTGTAATCTAAAGTATTAACTGTCCTATCAGCCAAGTGCTTCATATAATTAAGCACTGCATCAGATTGTCAATACACAATCTTCTGCCATTCCCACTCCATTTACCTGCGCTAGTACAGGTATTTGGATTCCCAGTTGCTTGGCAAACCATACTGCTCTCCACTTGTGGAGTCCTTTAAAGTGTTTATTTCGAGTGTGCGTCAGAGGTGAGGGGGTGGGAGGGACGGACATGGGATGAGAGAGAATGTGGTCTGATTTAAGAAAAATACTTAACGCCATAGTCAAATTAAAATGAAGAAAAGCACTAGAAGTGATACTTGTTTTATGTTTATGCTGTCTTGTATTGTAGGATACATGGTATTTTTCAGTATAATAATGGAAGGCAGTGTCTAATTTAGGACTTTGTTGAAGCATTTGTGACAGATGGGAGGACTGGTCTTCAGTCAAAACTACTGCCTAAATTGTTTGCAGAGAAGAACTTGATGCCTATGCCCATTGCTGATTATTTTGCCTTCATAAATCTTTTAGGAGGCAGAATATTCGCCTGCTCTTTTTGCCATAATTTCCTCTGTGAAGATGATCAGTTTGAACATCAAGCCAGCTGCCAAGTTCTGGAAGCAGAGACCTTTAAATGTAAGTTAGTTATTCATAGTCCCTTTCACCACAGCTAAGCAGACTCTCCAGTTGCTTCCTCTGTGCTCCAGAATACTCTCCATCACCTTTTCCACCACTGGAGGAAAGGGCCAGTTTCCTATGTGCTTGCTCTTAATATCCAGTTATCTAGACTAGAGTATTTGTTTCTGACCTTCCTCCGTGCCAGATTGTACACGGCAGTCGTTTCTCTGCCTGGCTCTTACAGTCCTCCCATGGGAAGTTGCTGTTGCATGAGCCAGCCGTTTCTAAAGTTGTGGTGTTGGCAGTGGCCAGGACTGCAGCAAAGCTGCTGGAACTGCTGATGCTGCTTTTTTACTCCACAAGGCTCTGCAGGCAAGAAGGAGCTCTCTTCCACTCTTCTGACCATATGAAGAGCTATTTATAGATACCTGTTCCTCATGGAAAATGGCTGCCCTGAATAGTACCACCTGTGTTAGTCTGGCTAAACTTTCCCAGATCGCTATGGATGGCCTGTATTTTGGTGAAGGGTTAGCAGCTGTTGATTTTGCAAAAGCAGCAAGTCCTGAGGAAGGCCATGACTCAGGAAGCAGTCATCATCTGATTCAGTGAGACAGGGTGAGCACAGAAGGAGGTAACAAAAATAGTGTTCATCCAGAGCATGAACTCAGTGTTAGTTTCTTCACTGATGGGGACTGTGGACATGTGTTAGTACTGTACTGAATGTTTATACATGTCCGCTTTTAGTGAGTAAAGAACAGGTAGCTGAAGACCTTGCGTCCTTTTGAACTTCGATTAATTGTGTGGACAAAACTGAAACTGGTATTTGTAAGAGGATATGATGGCTGTGCCTGACTTGGCTAGTCTGCTACTTGTCTCCAGCTGAAATGTGGAAACTTCAAGGCAAGTTAAGAGAAAACAGAACACAAACAAACCAAGACTATGCATGTTTGAAATAACTAATCTTTTGTAGAAGTATTTCTTTTCTACCCACCATTAACTACTATTTGGTTTATCCCATGAGGCAAGCGTTTGTCCTTTCCAAAACCTGTACGTGTGTATTTTGACTGTTACAACATTTTCAATCCTTACAGAAATTCAAGGTGCTCTTTAGTATGTATAAGACTGTTTTCTACAGAACTGACTAATCTCTTGTCCTAATTGATTTCTCCCAATTCAGAAAATTTGTTGATGTCGATGTTATAGTCTGTCTTTAGAAATCTCTTATCTCCTTTTCATCTCCCATCCTTTTTTTCCCAGCCAACTATTTTCTAAGCCTTGATTAGCTTCCCTTGATGTATTCTGCCAGAATAACTTCCTGCATAGCAATATTGAAGCAGCAACAGCTGTTCCTCAAGAATATTTTTTCAGTGATTGTTGGAAGCTTTTAATTCACAGATGTGATGTCACACCCTGAACAGAGAAATTGCTTTTTTGAGGGTTTTCACTGTGTTCAATGTTTTCTGGCACAGTGCAGTCTCAGAGGAGAGGCAGGATTTTTGTCAGTGTGTGGTAACAAGATTATAAAACCTGAACTTTTACAGAATACATGAACTTTAAATGCGGTCATGCAATTGTATTCTAAATCCCATTCTAGCTGTGAAAAAGGTACTGTTACTTTCTATCACTATCTGAGAGAAGTTTTTAAAGTGCAGGTGGTCCGAAAACATTTGTACATAGGCATTGGCATTGGCATTTCCAGTTCCATCTTTAAACACACGACAGAGCGCCAAGTCCCGTGGTTCTCATGTGGAGAACCCCTGATATTTATTACTTCAGATTCAAAAACTTTTTTGCCACAGGAGTAAGGCAAGGTGGAAGGGAACGAGTACTTGACCAGAGATAAAATACGTATTACTGCTTCTTGAGGAGTAACTACTCATTCACCCAGCTTCGTGTTGCTGCCTTCACTGTACTCCCTCTAGTGGAGTAGGGAAACCAGTTTGAAGCTTCAAGACAAGTTCAATTTTGAGCACCGATTCTGCTCTTCACAGCTTCTGTGCCAGCTACAATTCTTTAACATAGTTAGACAGATAATCAGATGAAGTTGTGTGCAATAAAGTACATTTCCAAAGGACGTGGCAGAAAATACAGAACAAAACTGCTGTTGTACGTTTGGAAGTTTGCAGGCTCTAAGTGTTCTCATATCCTGTGAGATGAAGGTATTAAAGGCTGCCATGGCATTGTTTAAAGTGACTGTAAAATGCTAGCGCTCCTTCTTTTGACATTATGAGAAGAGGAAAAACAAGGTGATTGCTTAATACCAAATTAGTTCCGAAGCATCTGTTTTTAAAACATTTGCAAACTCAAGAAATAGTTAAACTTTTTCCCCTCCTGAACTTTTACCTTTTGTGTCAAATTACATTGCAGTAATGAGACTTAGACTTGGAAAGAAAGTCCAGTAAAATTGTACTGTGTGGTAAAGTGACTGATTCGTGTTGCCAAAGTGCAGTTGTGTCAGGGAATTCAACTTAAACGCCTCAATTACATTACTGCATACTTTTACAAGGTTTTAAAAACATCACAGGTCTGCAGTTTCCAAGTACTGAATTTTACATATTGATTTTCTCCAACAGGTGTTTCCTGTAACAGGCTTGGGCAGCATTCATGCCTGCGGTGTAAGGTAAAGAGTAAAGACAGTTGCAAGTAGCTATGATTTTAGACTTGTTCTCCTTAGCCTCCAAGGCTGGTATCAAGCCTTCTCATGTCTTCCTCTACATTACTGAAAAAGTGTTGATACTTTTGTATTAGTTTTTGAAGCCTGGGGGCAGACTTATGGGGAACAAAAGGGCTTTTATCTGTGCTTGCCTATTAGCCACAAGCCAGTGTAGTGCATCCTTATGCCGGCTGAGGTGATCCTCGCTTTGTCCAGCCCTCTGTGTTTAAATTTGGGCTGTACCGTGTTCGGGCCTTTTCAGTAAAACCCCAAAACCAATCATTGGTCTTGAACAGAATCCAAGGCTTTAGAATAAGTTTTGATCCAGCATAGAACTAAGACAATTTAAAAGGTTTGGGTTTGTTTTGTTTTTTAAACCAGAAAACACTGCAGCCTGGATCCAATAGAAATAGTCTCCCCAGCTAATCCAGTTTTACATGTGCAGAGGCTGATTTGTTGATGTCAGGCTTTTGGTTTTACACACTCAGAAGTAATTTTGTATAAAAAGTTCCACCTGCTTTGCCATCAGCATTTCCCAGATTTCTCCAGGTGCTGGTTCATTGCCTGCTGTTACTCTTCTTGCCCTCCATGTGTTTCCCCGCAGTCTCCCATGGCATCGATTTCATATTCCAAATTGTTCTTTTCTCCAGATATCTTCACTGGCACCCTGGTGCTCAGCACGTGAAATTTCAATCTCTTATTCTTGCCTTCAGGTCACTGCATAGTCATGTTCTGGCATACCTCTCCGATTGTGTTTTATTTAAGCTTGTCAATGTAAACCAAAGTTTGCCAGGCTCCTTGCGAGCAGCACTGTAAGCCAGTCCCCGAGTATGTTACTTTCTCTATCCAGCCTCCTCCCCAGGAAGCCGTGAAACTACATTCAACAGAGGAGTGGTTGCTCTGTGCACAGACTCCAGTTACACTGCAGACAGAGCTCATTAAATTTTAATCCCAACCAGAAAATCCTGCTGCTGTTAGCCACTTTTTTGCTTGCTTCTTGCTGAAGAACATGCTTCTATGATTAAAACATTTAGCCTTTTCTCCTTTCACCCCACAGGCTTGTTTTTGTGACGATCATGTGCGAAGTAAGGTTTTCAAACAGGAAAAAGGAAAAGAGCCTCCCTGCCCTAAATGTGGCCATGAAACTCAGCAAACAAAGGATCTGAGCATGTCAAGTAAGCCTGCTTCTCTAGCTAACAAGCTATACAACTGCCATCGGTGACTACTTTTCTGCGTAGGAACACTGAATAAAGTCTGATTACTTTCAATTGTTTTGCTAACCTTTGCTACATTAGTTTTGGGAAAAACTTCATGTTTCTTAGTTCTAGAATTGAGCAGTCTCTCATTCTTAATCACTAATTGACTCCAATACAGTGAAAGCTTTTGTTTAGTTTGAGATTTGAGTTATGGAAAAATTGCAGAACATCACTGCTTAAGCCTTACAAGAAGCTGGCTGATTAATTTCGAAGTGTGATTTGATAACATGCATACAATCTACCTCAACCACTCCTGAATAAATCAAAGTATGTATTGTGTCTGCAAAGCACTTCCAATTACAGGTTTTCTTGGCTAGAGTACCAGAGGTTTATCCTAAAACCAAAGTCATACTCTGGGGGCAGTTATTGTTTATGCAGACTTGGCTGCAGGGGGACAGACTGTGCAGCAGAAAAGTTCTGTCAGAGTAAGGATTGAATCTGAAAATATCAGATTTAAGAAAAGGCTGTCTAACATTGTATGCTCTTTGCCGAGTAGTGAAAAAGGATGGAAAAGAAATGTCGGATGCTCTGCTCAAATTGCTGTTGAGGAGTGAGAACATGATGATTTTTCTCTGCCTGCAGCACGCTCTTTGAAGTTTGGCCGACAGACTGGAGGTGAAGATGCAGATGGAGCTTCTGGTTACGATGCTTACTGGAAGAACCTCTCATCCAGCAAGGCTGGAGATGCAGGTGATCGTGAGGATGAATATGATGAATATGAAGCAGAAGATGACGATGAAGATGACAATGATGAGGGAGGGAAGGATTCTGATACAGAGACCACAGATGTATTCAGCAATTTGAATTTAGGAAGGACCTATGCTAGTGGGTATGCACATTACGAGGAGCCTGAAGATTAAGCTTGGTACGCTGGCAAGCTAAAAACACTTTTGGAAGGAGTCAAGCAGTGCTTCACTTCAGTTGTGTACGTGCCAGTAGGATAGCTCTATCAGGTACTTAGATATCAAAGTTAGAGAGTAAAGAGTGTGGGGCTTCTGCAGTAACTCCAAGTGATATATTATTTTTTTTTTTTTGGTATAAACCAATCTTGGGTTTTGGACTGAGGGGAATAAAAATATTCCTGTTTTCTCCCCAAGCAACCAAAGTGGTTTTGTCCTTGAGTTACTGAGTATAATGGTTCAATGCCATTTTCCCGTATCAACACAGGAACATGGGAGTGCTGTACAACTTGTTTCCATTTGCTCATCAGAAATTAAGTTATTTTTTACAATAATTTTGTTAACTGATTTCATAAAATTAATGTAGTGGTGGGTTGGTAACTGCATTTTTTTGGTCTGCACAATAAAAGTCAACTGCATTCTCTAATGAATTATCATAAATATTGATCTCCCTTGAATAGTTGGAAAGCAAGTTGTATACAAAGTCTTAAGTTGACACTAAAACAACTTTCTTGTTTATATAGTAAGGCAGATAAATATAGTTCTCGATGTACTTGGACATTACCTTTCCAGCATTTTTGGTATTAGATATTTATCAATGGGGCTATATGCAGTCATTACAAGTGCACCTCAGATAATCAAGCATTTTATTGCAATAAAAATGTTGGTGTATCCTCTCTGCCACTAAAATCTGTAAGACAATTTCTCATTAGATCAAAAGGAGACTGGCTTCTTCTGTGCCTAGCCTTCAACTCTTCCTTGTACATCATACAAAGAAATAAAAAATTCGATAGGAAACAACCACTGTATATGAATTGATCAGGTGAGAAAACACAGGGCGGGGCTCAGAGTACTGGGTTCAAATACTGTTCTGTGCAAGTGTGCTGGGCCAAGGCAAGTGATCAGCACATCTGAGCTGATGAGGTGACACTTGCAGAAGTGTTCGCAGTGATTCCGATTTCAAAGTCAGCGTGTTAATTGCCGATCTACGCATCTAAGTGACAGTGTTGCACTGATAGTATTTCAGTTCCTCCTGGGGGGGGAATGTTGTGCAGATAGCAACTTTCACAGCGGACAGATCAAGATACAAGGGCAGCCACATAAAGTATTACTCCAGCTTTCTAAATGCCATGCTTCAAGTGCAAGAGAGCTATTTCTTCTTGTCTGTCAAATATCTGAACTGATGATAGAATTACCTACTGTTGTGGTGCTTTCTCTACTGTTTCTTTACAGCTAAAGGTCATATGTTGGCAGAGTATAACCTATTGAGAGTAATTTTTAACGTTAGGATTGCCAAATGAGCATTTCCTAACAAAATAGGATTGAGGAACCTGGCCTTGGTACTTCCCTCCTAAATGCTGCGTACCCGATGCATGAAAGACATGACCTGGAACACATCCAAGACAAAAACAAACTGACAAAGAGCACAACTTGGTTACGGCAGCCAAGGGAAGAAACTGTACTGGAGAGAGGGGCATGACCCGATCAGTGCATGTCAAGCGCATGCCTTCAGAACTGGAGAGGAAACCAGTTAATGCGCTGTCTGAAAGCCAAATCCCCTTCTAGTATTGCAGCTCTAGGGCCATCCAGTTTCATGTGCTAGCAAAGACCTACCCATCTTAAATTGTGTACCTGACAGATGTCCTGCTTAGTCTTTTGCATAACCAAACTCGAAGTGAGGGAAGTAGGATGCCTGCCAGTGCAACAGCAGTTACTTATTTGTGAAATCGACACCTGTGATAGAATTTATCCTCAACTTCACGTGGTCCAAAAACTTCCACAGTTCAGTCCATCTGTGGCTGGTCAATTCTGGCAAAAATGCCAGGTTTTTATATCTTGGCTGATGTTTCAAATACAAAACAATTATACATCAGTACGAAGTCTTACATAGGATTGAGGAAAGTCTGTTTCTGCATATACATAAAATTATAGCTGCTTGCATGTCATTTGTTAATATTATTACTTAACAGCACAAAATTCCCTTTTAAGGTTCTTGGCTCTTGAATTAGGTTTTTCCGATATGAAATCTGCTGCTGTCACTGGCTGTGCCAAAGGCTGCTGACATAACGGAATTAATCATCATAATCAGAGTAAAGAATTATTCATTTCCTCATTGAAATGTCCTTGCACTGATCCTTGCAAGATCAATCCTCCAGTGCTAACGCGTGTTCCTGTGGTGCTGTCGTAAGAGAAGGCCACAGCGCTGCCTGCAACAGATGCTCGGGATACCGGCT